AATCAAACTGATGTCTTTGATTTAGATGACTAACGAAATTTCTAGTAATCGAGCTAGGATCTCCCCAAGGAAGAGACACACAAATAGGACATGTCTACAAGAAACAGATTGTTTTGAATAAAAATAATGAAACATTATATAATTATTGAGAGTATAAAACAGCACAGGCTTAATGTTATTTAAAACTTAAGGCATACCTTGTTTTGCTACAGTTAGATTGCTTTTTTTTTTGAGACAGGGTCTTGCTATGTAGCTCAGGCTGGTCTTGAACTCATAGCAATCCTCCTGCCTAGCCTCCCAAGTGTTGGGACTACAGGCGTGTGCAACCATACCCAGCTTCATTCAACTGCATGTTTTTGTGGGGTTTTTTGTATTTTAGGGAAGGGTCTACAGGGTGTTCAGGGTCTCACTACTAGTGATCTGCCTGTTTATAGCCTCCCAAGAGCTGGGATTACAGGCATGCGACACCACGCCCAGTCTCAATTGCCATCTCAGTGTGCCTCAGGGGTGGGGCCAGCACGGAAGGCCCAGGGATTGAACCTCTGGTCCCTGCTCCTGCTTGCAGGTAGTTTAATCTGCTGAGCTATTTGGCCAGCCCAAAAATTGAGAAGGATGTTTTTTTTGCTGGCTCAGGTTGCCTTAAGGGCAAGTCTGGTAAGGCAGGTGGAGCTGGGGATCAAACTGCCATATCCTGTGCCTGACTGCATTTGCATGAGCAGGCACTTAAGCAACTGAGCTAACCAACAGACCCCCCTCGATTGCATTTTACAAAAACAATTATTTTATAAATTGAAGGACTGGGGCCGGGGAGATAGCTCAGTAGAATAAGTGCTTCCCTGGCAAGCGCAAGGGCCTGAGTTCAATCCCGAGTTCCACAAAAAGCATAGCAAGACCCGTATCAAATACATAAATAAAAGTTTAAAAAAAAATTGGGAGAGATGGGCTGGGGAGATAGCTCAGTAGAATAAGTGCTTCCCTGGCAAGCGCAAGGGCCTGAGTTCAATCCCGAGTTCCACAAAAAAAAAAAAAAAAAAAAAAAAAAAAAAAAAAATTGAGGACTATGGCCCAAAAAAATTCCCAAAAAAAAAAAAAAAAAAAAAAAAAAAATTGAGGACTATGGCAACCCTGCATGAAGTTAAGTCTACTATCACCATTTTTTAACAAAGTAACTGATTATTAACTTAAAGTATTTCTTAACCAAAGTATGCATATTGTTTCTATTAGACATTGTACTATTGCAGACTTAAAAAAAAAAACTACAATGTAAAATTAACTTTTACTTACATTGGAAATAAAAAAATTTAATCATTTTATTGCAAATGTGCTTTATTGGACAGAGATGAAACCGACCCTGCAGCATCTCCAAGGTATGCCTATACATGGAAAACATTTGCAAAGGCCAAATTCCATAACTGTATCATTTTCCAACCAAATTATCTTAACAACAATATAATACAATATAGTGAGAGCTTCAACATTCTATTACTTTACTCCCCATTTACAGTTTCAGCAGAATGACCACATTCCAGCCTTTGTAACACCAATTCTGAATTATCACTAACTGCCTACAATATGGAGTATTCATTTGATCCACACAGAAATTATAGTTAGCTTCATTTCATTTGTATGCAAAATGAAAATGAAGTAATTCTAAAGTTGTACTCTTTCCCACAATAAATATTCTGCTCTTTAAAAAAAAAATGGATGGATGAAATACTGAAATGATATAAAAAGAACTGACACTGCCTTTCAGGTCCGCCATCTGTGGTGGAACCGCCACCAAGATGCAGATTTTCGTGAAAACCATTACAGGGAAGACCATCATGCTGGAGGTTAAACCCTTGGACACTATAGAAAATGCAAAGCCCAAGATCCAGGACAAGGAAGGAATTCCTCCTGATCAGCAAAGGTTGATCTTTGCTGGAGTCTATGCTTCATCTTATGTTGAGACTCTGTGGGGGTGCTAAGAAAAGGAAGATGTCGTCTTACACCACTCCCATGAAGAATAAGCATAAGAGAAAGAAGGTTAAGTTGGCTGTCCTAAAATACTACAAAGTGGATGAAAATGGCAAAATTAGTAGTCTTCATGAAGAGTGCCCTTCAGAACAATGTGGTGCAGGAGTTTTATGGCCAGCCACTTTGACAGACATTATTGCAGCAAGTGTTGTCTGATTTACTGCTTCAACAAACCAGAAGACAAGTAATTATGAGTTAATAAAAAACTTCAGCTTGGGGCCAGGGAGATAGCGCAGTAGAATAAGCGCTTGCCTGGCAAGCGCAAGGGCCTGAGTTCAATCCCCAGTTCCACAAAAAAAAAAAGGAAAAAACTTCAGCTAAAAAAAAAAAAAAAAAAAAAGCTGACACTAGCCAAAGTTTACAATACATTTAATATTATTCAGAAATAAAAATTTAGTAGTTCAATATAAGAGGGAAATCTCTTAAATATGAAAGAATTTCATAGGGACTTCCACTGGCACTATATTTGCTTATTTGAAAGAAGCTGATGTCCCTTCTAAAAGCAAAGTAGGTGATATGTTTCCTGTTGTGTTCAACATTTAATGCAAGTACATGTTTTTCCCAAATTGTTCTAACATCTATTAAAACATCTTAGAAATAAAATTCTTATTGATATATTTTCCTCCATTCATATTGCTGAAGACAGGATTTACATGTCAAAATGTTTAGCTCTAAGGGAAGTAACTCTTCACAGCTCAGTTGTTGCTGTTCCACAAACCACAGTTAAAAATTGCTTCTCTGGGAACTCATGTTCAAAGTGAAACACTGCACTCAACTTTAATCTTCCTCATTCATCAAACAGGTCCCATCGCTTTCTAATTCACCTTCAACATGGCATCCAAGACATACATACATACAACAAAACTGAAGTATGATTCTTTTCTTTATAAAGTCATATGCTGTACTAGGTCCAGCAAGGCCATAAATTAAAAATATCTACTGACTTTATTCTTATTTATAAATATTTTTACCTGCAACAGATCCATCCAATTAGACCCATGATCTGCAGCTCATAAGAGCAAAAAACTCAAGAAGCCCCAACAAAAATTGTTTTGTCATTACTCAATAATCAATCTCATGTTCATTTTTCACTATTCTTTTAGACTGTTCTCCACTACCTCACAATAAGCATCTTCAG